TCAGGGCGGCATATAGAAGGGATATGGTCCCAGGGCTGTGTGGGTCGGTGCGTCAGATTGTTTCAAAGGGGGACAATTTGTGTGGGGGTGGACGTAGTGACATAATTTTTGACGTGAAGGTATCGGAAGAGTTCAGCACTTGGGAGTTGCGTGCGTTCTTGCAGGTGGGGTAAGGGTTTCACGCCAGTGTCAGACTGTAGTTGCCAGAAATGCGTGAGGTTTCTGTCTATCCAAGCTTTGAAGCTTGACGGGTGTGTCAAAGCGGGAGGGAAGGCGGGGTTGTTGAGAATGGACAAAGGGGTAGGTGTGGGGAAAGAAGACCGTATTGGGATTTAATGGAGTCCCACAGTCTGAGTGAGTGGGATGTTATTGGACAACTGATCTTTGGTCTTTGTTTAGGGGCCAGCCAGAGGAGGTTAGCCATTGATGCAGGCTTCACTAGAGTGTTTTCCAGAGCTACCCAGGCAGGTGTTTCGACTTCTATGTGGCATTTTGCCAGTTGTCCTGTCTGGGCAGCGAGAAAATATTTGGTGAGGTGTGGGACTGCTTGTCCTCCCTGAGATTTAGGTAAGAATAGTGTACGTCTAGGGACTCTAGGCCTTTTGTCTCCCCATATGAAGGTAAAGATGCGGGTTTGGAGTTTCTTAAGGGCAGGGGCCGGGACAGCTACTGGCAAAACTCTAAATAGATATAAGATTTTGTGCAGGAGAGTCATCTTGACCGCTGCCATCCTACCCAGCCAAGATAAGTGGTATTGGGACCAATTTTTAAGCATAGTCGACAGCTTTGTGAACATGTCAGGATAATTTGCGTTGTATAGGGTTTGGTAGGAGTGCCCTAGTTTTATTCCCAAGTATGGGAGATGGTCTGTACGCCAGGAATAGGGGTAGGTGCTACGCAGGGACTCCACCTGTGCCACAGGGAGAGAGATATTTAAGGCTATGGATTTGGAATCATTTACACTTAGACCAGAGACCAAGGCAAAGTCTGCCAGGAGTTTCATAAGATTAGGTAGTGTCACTATGGGGTTCGTTACGAAGAGTAAAGCGTCGTCTGCAAACATGCATATCTTATGCGTGACTCCTTCATGTTCAATACCAGTGACGTTAGGGGAATTGCGGATCTTCTGGGCTAGTGGTTCCAATGCTAGGGCAAAGAGGAGGAGGGATAAGGGGCATCCCTGTCTGGTCCCTCTGAGAATCGGGAAGGGTTGGGAGCAGAAACCTGCGTATTTTATACGCGCTGTTGGTCTGTTGTATAAGGAGGATACCCGTTTTAGAAAAAAGGAACCAAAACCTCTTTGACGTAATGCATGAAAGAGGTAGGGCCATGAGACGCTGTCGAAAGCTTTTTTGATATCTAGAGAGAGAAGCATGGTCGGAATTTTCTTAGTCTTGGCTATGTAAGAAAGGAGGGAGATTCTACAGATATTGTCGCTAGCTTGTCTAGTGGGAATTAAGCCAACTTGATCATTGGAGACCAAATGGCCTATCACTTGATATAATCTATTGGCCATAACCTTAGCCAGTAGCTTGACGTCCACATTAAGTAGAGAGATCGGCCGATAATTAGAGGGGTTGGTATGGTCAGAGGCAGGTTTGGGGATCATACAGATCGTGGCTTAGAGGGAGTCTGGGCCGAAGGACCCACCCCTGCGCAGAGAATTAAAGGTGTCAGTCAGGAGAGGGGTCAGGAAGTCTTTGAAGGTGACATAGTAGGCTGCCGTGAAACTATCTGCCCCAGGTCTTTTGCCCCTAGGAAGTGACTTAATGGCCTGTAGGACTTCATGTTCCGTTATGGGTTCTTCCAAAGATGCTATTTGTGATGTGGTAAGATGGGGCAGGTCTAGGTCTGCGAAAAATTGGTCTGCTCGGGAAGGGGAGAAATGATCTTGGGAAGCGTAAAGGGTTGAGAGGTGCTGTTGGAAAATGTCGAGGACTTTGGTCGGTGCGCTTGTGTGGGTGCCCAAGTGGCTCCGTAGTCTGATAGGTTTGTATGTCGGGTCTAAACGCCTGAGCCTGGAGGCCAAAAGGGAGTCCGCCTTATTGCTTTTGAGATAGAATTTATGTGCTGTTCGATGGAGCTGTTTAGCTGCATGGTTGGTGAGCAGGAGGTTCTGGGCTTGGCGGGCTGCATCTAGGGCCACTTTGTGGGTTGGGGATGGGTCGGAAGAGAAGGCTATGGAACTGTCATTAATGGCTCGTTCAAGCACGTTCAGTTGTTGTTGTTGTCTCTCCCGCTTGAGTTGAGAGGACAACTGAATGATCCGACCCCTGAGGACCGGTTTGTGGGCCTCCCATAGTGTGGTTGGGGAGATTCCGGGCGTACGATTGAGTTGGATATATTCTGCAATGTAAGATTCTAGTAGCATCTTGGTGGAGGGGTTAGTGAGAAGGGAGTCATTCAAGGTCCAATTTGGAGAGCCCGGGGTAGGGTGTAATGTAGGGAGGACAATAGTGACAGCTGAGTGATCGGACCATGGGACAGGCAGGATGTGGGAGTGGAGAATGTGGGGTGTAAGGGTGGCAGAAGTAAGGATGTGGTCAATGCGGGAATGGACAGCATGTGGGTGGGAGTAGTGTGTGTAATCTGTCTTGTGCGGGTTAGCTTCCCTCCAGATATCTACCAGTGAGTAGGAGGCTATCAAGTCTCTAAAGTGCAGGCAGGCGGGAGAGATTTGGATTTATCCCGGTGTGGATAGAGCACCATGTTGGAATCCCCACACATGATGATCGCACCAGTTGAGAGGTTGCTAATTTTATTGAGGAGATCCCGAAAGAAAGCTAGTTGATCCACATTAGGAGCGTAGTATGAAACAAGTGTAATTTCTTGATCGTCTAGGAGACCAGTGAGGATCAGGTAACGCCCGGGTCTCCGAGTGGCATATAAAGTTTACGGATCTACGAAAGCCAATGAGGACACCCCTTCTTTTGGTCTCGTCATTAGCCATGTATATTTGCAGGTATTGGGCACTGAAGTATTTGGGGCAGGAAGTTCTGGAAAAATTAGTTTCCTGAAGGAAAACGATATTGGCATGGGAGGACTGAAAA